CTCAGTTGAGGAAATATGTGCATGACCCCAGCCATGTCCTGGAGTCAGACGATGTGCAGATTAGAGACGATCTCTCCGTTGATGTGAGACCAGTAAGGATAGAGGATTATCAGCTGAAGCAACTTAGAGGTAGAACCATCTCAATGGTGAAGGTAGTATGGGATCAGAAATCCGGAGACTTCACTTGGGAGATGGAGGAACAGATGCGAGAGTCCTATTCATATCTATTTCCAAGTAAGTTTATTTTCGAGGACAAAAATTTTTGTGGAAGGGAGATTGTGACGTATGATTTTTATATATTATAATAATATTACTATGCAAGAAAACTTCGTAACAAAGTTTTCCTCATAGACAATAAAATTTTTCTTATATATGCATATTGAAGCGGGGGAGGAGGCAGAATCAAAATTTCCCTCTCATCCTTCTTCTTCTTTTGTCTAAAGCAACGAGACTCTACTCGTGCAGGATCTGGTGAAACGAGAAAGAACTTGAATTAAGTGGGAAAACTTCAATAGAAATACCACACCAGGTAAGGGGAAGTTTAATTCATTCAATATATGAAATTGAATTGTTAGGTACTTTGTGAATAAGGAATAAGAGTAGAGATATGAATTATTTGAATGTCTGATTTTGAAGAATTTCTGATTCTGATGAACTATTCACCGTTTGAAAGTTTTTGAAATTCTTGAAATTAAGGATGAATTATATAATAAAATTGTTGTTTTCAACTTCAATTGAACATGTTTATGGTTTAATTTTGATTTGAAACTAATTTGGGTGATTGAAATTGAGAAATTTGAAACCTGAATTTTGAAAATGGCGTACTGGAGGTGATTACTATTCATATTTTGCAAAGTTTTAAATATTGATGAAATTCTTGAAATTAAGGATGAATTATATAGTAAAAATGTTATTTTTGACTTAATTTGGACATATTGCATGTTTAATTTTTATTTAGAACTAATTTGGGTGTTTTAAACTGAGAAATTGGAAAATCTGGATTTTGAAAATGACTTACAGGGAGCGAAGGAAGACGAAAGGACTAGGTGGTAATTTTTGAAAATGTTCAAGGGTAAAATAGTCATTTTATATCCTAGGGACATAAATGAAATTTTCAAAAATGTCCAAGGGCAAAATAGTCATTTTCGGGATATGGAAGGAATTTTCAAAAATATCCAAGGGTAAAATAGTCATTTAGGGACATACATGAAATTTTCGAGATAAGATTAAGGGCAAAATAGTAATTTAATGATTTAAAAAAAAGATTTTGGAAATGATTTTGGAAATGATTTCGTAAATGATTTTGGAAATGATTTCGAAAAGAAAAAAAAAGAAAGAATATATATATATATATATATATATATATATATATATATATTTAAAATATAGAATGAAGGTAGCAGTTTTAAAGATTCTCGTAGTGTGTTGTAATGTGTGTGAGTCAGACTGAGTCTAAGGGTTGATGCCCATAATTAGTCATGAGATGTTATTTGTTGGCTAGACTGAGCCAGAGGGTTGGTGCCCAGAATCAGTCAAGTACTATTATTTATTGACTTGAATGAGTTGTGAGGACAGGTGGTTCAGAATCCGACAAATGTGAATGATTTTTGTTGTGTTTGAATGATATCCGAGGTGTTACAAAGTACATTAGTGTAATAACTATGTCGGAGGATTCTGAATGAGGTCCCAAACTTCACTGATTGGTCGGGTTAGGTAGACTACGAGATCAGGTGGTGAGAAGTCGATGGAGGATGACTAGTGGCGCGCTCGGAGGGGTACTCCAGTATGAGTAATGAAGGACGCCAGTAATCCTACTCTGTGTGGATGGTGGTCAGAATGATACTGTGGGTGCCGATCACAATGTGCCCACAGATGATAGCCTCTGAGTTCGGGCATAGTTAGGGTATACTTCCAGAAGGTGTCTTAGTGTGTTGATGATTTCATAATTGATCATAATATATAATTATTACTTCTATATCTGTTTTATTATATCGAATGATTTAATACTTACCCCTATTTTTCCATGTGGAAGGGACTGCGATGATCACTTTTATGTGGGAGCAGATCAGGAGTTGAGAGATGGAGATGTGACTACTGGACAATAGGGATAGTTCAGGTGAGATAACTTCGAGGGAGCTACTACTTTTACATGTATAATATATAAATAAATTATGTTACTATATTTTGAGGTTCAGTTAATGAACCGAAATTTCAATTTATGTTACAATTACAGTAATATAATGTAAGATAGATGTCGTTATTTACTTGTTTACTATTATGCGAATGTATCATTATAATAACGATTTCTAACGTCGTTACATACAATATATAATAAAAAATAAAAAATCAAAGTCATTTTCCTTTCGTATCATTCCAATTCAAAGAGAAAGTATTTTCTCACGAAATCTATGAAAAACACTTTTCTTCGTCATATTATTTTCTCTAAAATAAACTGTAAAATACTAGTATTTCTTTTATCTTATCTTTCCCATTGTTTTTTTTTACTCTATTTTTACCTAATTAAACAAAACATTAAAGTGATTAATATATTATTTATTAATATTAAGAATACATTTTACTTTTTAATCCTTTAACTAAATTTTCGTCTTTAGTTTGTTCTCTTACTTTTTTAAAATGTTCAGTTAGTTATTATTAGATATGAAATATAATAATTTCTTGAAAATTAAAATATAATATATTTAAATTGATTTTAATTCAAAAAGTTTTTTTTTTTAAATTTTGTTTAGATAAGATAATTTTAGTCTATTAAATTTTAATTTTATTATTTAAATAGAGTATTTAAATTATTATTATTATATATATAATTTATTTTAATATTAAACAATATTAATAAGTCAAAAAAATTAGTTGGCGATGTTTTCAATTAATGTTGGTAATGATGATTTTTTAAACTCTATTAAAATATTTTTATATTGATGAAGATTTATTAACAAAAATTATAAAGAAATATGTACGGCTGATCGTCGACCCGCCTAAATAATTATAGGGTTGATAGTTTCCGTCCCTCAAACTATTTGGGCTTCTTGCCTTATCTATTAACCCAATAGATTAAGTATGACACAATCAGTTATCTCACTTTAAAAAATATTATATATTATATATTAAAATTAAAATTAAAAATATTATAATTTTTTTATATTATTAAAATATATAAATATATTATATATTTTAACATATATTTACTATATTATTAATAATTATAATTTACATTATTAATTATAATTAAATATTTTAACATACAAAATAATAATTTAACATATATTTGATATAATTTTTTTCGTACTAAAAACTAAACACACTAAAATAAGACGATTTCACTTATTTTATCTTTTTAACAAACTTATAAATATAAAAATAATATTTTATATTAATTATTTTTTTAATTGACGTAAAAAATAAATATTATACCAATTATACAAGAAATCAGTATATCTTTTTAACAAACTAATAAATATTAAAATAATATTTTATATTAATTATTTTTTTAATTGACGTAAAAAATAAATATTATACCGATTATACAAGAAATCAGTATAGTATATGCAGATATTAAAAGATAATTATTGTCATATTCGGACATCAACTTATGTTTTTTATTTTTTTAAAATCTTATGATTTGAATTTTTGATGATCTTTAACTAATATCTTCTTTATTTGTCTATTTTTTTATTGAATATTTATTTTATTTTTAGACTAATATCACATTATTTAAAAATTAAAAATTAAATATAAATATAATTATATATATATATATATATATATTCTCTTAATTTATTAAAATATTTTTTAAGAATTCTAAAATGATAATCCAATTTCAAAAATTATTTTAACAACAGCTATTATTTTTCCCCAACATTATTGGTATTGAACACCGTTCCCTTCATTTCCGTGATCTGCTCCATATTCGTAACCTCTGTCTAAGCCTTTTTTTGTCATCATTTCTCTCCTTCCATTGAATATCACTCAATGACTACTATGTGTACACATAGGTATCTCTCTCATTTCGCTATTGCAAATTCCTCCATAATCTAAGGTTGATTTATCATTTTTATTATTTATTTTATATGCAATTTAGATATGGAGATTTAAGTGATTGAAATCTCTTATTTTGTTTCTCCATAAACTATACGGAAATTTGTAAAAAAATAAAAAATAAAATAATAATAATAATAATAATAATGCTTGTGATCTATTTTTTCATTTAAACCAAAACATCTTTTTCTTATTTATTCTTTTCCATGAGAATAAAATAAATTAAATTAAATCAAATAATTAGAACAATGCACAGGTGTGATTCTTTCTGCACCAAAACTTAAGTTGTCAAAAGTAAAAGCGGCCTTTCGTTATGTTTCCATTCTCTGTTTTCCGTCATTTTCTTTTCCTTCAGTCACATTATTTTCCTTATTTTTTGCAAAACCACAATATTTATTTTAAAAAATAAATTATTTTAAAAATTATTTTTCATTTTATGTTTGAAAGTTAAACCTCTTACTAGAATTGTTACTTTTAAATTAACCTCGATCCCATCTTTTGTTATTTTAGTAGTAATTTTATCTGAAGGTGTCTCAACTTTACTATCTTCTCTAATTCCCTTGACTTGTGCATCAGACACCCACTTTTTCTCGCACTTTCTCTCTCTGCCACCGTCTTATGTAACTTCTGATTCCTTTCTCCCTCTCTATTTTTCGAAGGTTGCAGTGCTCTTGGTGAGTTCCAGCTTCTGATATTGCGTTTTAATTTTTTTCTTGTTAATTTAATTTATGCAATTGCTTATGTTAATTTGGTTTAAATGCTTTGTGTTTCATGATGTGTTTCGTTGTAATTTTTTTACTTGTTATCTTATGTTGTGTTTTGTGTAAAAGATAAAAACAAAATGAGCGTTTACAGTGTTCCCTATCTTTGGGAATTGTGATAGGATGATATATGCTCATGAATGTGTTGATTGTGTGTGAATTTTGGGTTGTCAGTGATATGGTGAAATGAAATGGATCAATTTTGAGAGTTTGTTTCGTGATGCTGATGGTTCTGCCCATAATTCTGTGGTGTAATTTGTGATGAATTTTACGAGCAGCGGTCTCTCTCAACTTGAGAAGAGATTCTTATTATATGAAGAAACTCTGCTACAAGAATAAGTCAATAGATAAAGATGAGTTCAAATGATAAATGTGACAGAAAAACTAGATAATAGCTCAACTAATTAATTATTTTGTATAACAGCAAAACTGAATATAAAAGAAATATATTCTGTTGTGCTGTTAAAGTTTCAATTAGCTGTTTGAATCGGATGAATTCTTGTTTTGCTATTGGATGATCTCTGTACAGTAAGTTGCTAGCTATACTGTTTTGAGGTTTGCTGGTAGAAGAAGATACTATTATGTGTGATTGGTTTGATGGTAAAGTGGAAGGGAAGGAGGGATGGGTAGTGTGGGTTTGAGTCTTCATGCCAACAAAATCGAACATATTAACAACTAAAATTTGTAGAATAAAACAAAAATGCCTGCGTTTACTTACCTTCTTTTGGTGGGTTCTGAGTGAGCTTTTTAAGAAAAAAAAAAACATTGAAACAAGAGCATGTAGTTACGTGTGAAGTAATGAATGGTGAATTAATAGGATCTGTTTTGGGCATCGAATGAGTTGTTAACTCCTTGGTATATGTAAGCATTCCCTGTTAAGAATCAGATCATTCAGAAACCTTGATTTGGACCTGAATAAAGGATTGAATGAGACAATATGAAGGAACATATTGGTAATAATGGATCAAATCAACTTTCATTTAATTACAGGTTATTTAGAAGAGGATCTTGTGCAGGCTACTCTATGTCTTCTGTTACAAATTCTACGCATGTACTTAAAAATGATGGGGTTCCTGGCCAAGGCTCTGATATTCTAGGAAGGTAATATATTGATTCTTATCATATGGTTTTGATACAAATTCCATCATTGTTGTATATTTCCCTAATTTAAGATTATCATTATATTATGCAACTGTCCATTAAGGCTCTTTTCATACTTTATTTCTACCTTTTTAAGTTTTAAAAGAATGACTGTTCTCGTCTCTTGTCCAATAAACTATGAATCAGTAAGTTGTGACCTACCTGGATTTGTCAAAGGTCTTGCATATTCAATGTCATTTTCTTAATAATTAAAGTATATACTCATTAAGAAGTGAGCGTATTTACAAAAAATTTGGAGGATAAGGATTCCACCTTAAGGATAGTGATTGTGTTGTTTTTTTGAGCTATGTTGAAAATTACAATCTGTTATGTTCAAGTTGTGATGTAATAAATTTGATGATGTTTGCATTGTAGGCACAAATTTGAAACCCAACTTTCTCAAAGAAACTTCAAAAGCAGTGATGCACACAATCACATCCAGGACCAAGACGCCACTCCAGCCACGGTAATAAAGTAAAGCAGTATTTTTTTATACAGGACACTGGCAGAAAGAAGGCGCTGCAGTGCATTCTTGCATCTTTTTTTCTTTGAAAGATACAATGTGCTTCAAACAATTCCATCAGATCATAAGTTTATTTGCAGGAACTTTTTTCACGAGCAAGGGGGCAACAAGAGGAGATTCTCTCCCTCCGTGAGCAGATTGCTTTTGCCTGTATGAAGGTATGAATATACACATGTAATTTATATCTGCATCTTTGGCTTTTGCGGAAATTAACTAAATTTAATGGAAGCAGGAACTGCAACTGTTGAATGAGAAATGCAAACTGGAGAGGCAATTCTCTGAACTAAGAATGGTTAGTAAACGTCTTTGCAAGTTACAGTTATATTTTAGCATCTTACTTATAAAATTAGTCTTAAACTATGAATGTCACATTTTTTATTAGGCAGTTGATGAGAAGCAAAGTGAAGCTATCTCATCCGCATCCAATGATTTGGCTCGAAGAAAAGGTTATCTTGAAGAAAATTTAAAACTTGCTCATGATTTGAAAGTAAGTCCAGTTTCATGATGATATTAGTATTTTATTGATCCTCTGTTTGTTCTTTTATTGTTTTGATAATTTTATGGCCATTCTTTATATTGGTTGATGGCATGTTTCCATCACCTAGACAATTGAAGTTAGCTAGTGTCTCTACTCTCTACAGTGGTTGTTGACGCGGATTAATGGTTTTCTTGTTTTATTTGAATTCATTTTAGATAGGACCTGCATTTACTGGAGAAATAAAAATAATGTTAAACGTGCATATTTCTAAAATTATACACATCATTATAATATTTTTACAAAAAAAGAAAGAAGACTATTAAATAGTTTTTTAATAATCTATTAATTATTTTATTTATTTTTTCAAAATTGGTGTCTCATAATGATGAATACAATAATATTTTAACTTTTCAAAGAACAAACATAATGTAAATTAAATTTTGAGAAGCTATTTTTCTGATAAAACTTTTAAGAAACTTTTAATATGATGAAATTTTAACAAAATTAGTTTGGTATCAAGATTAATCTAATGACTTGTAACTTGAAAAATTTACCTTGAAAAGTTGCGACAAAAATATGTAATACATATTTTAAAAAAAAAATTGAAATCCTCTAATAAGTATTAAATATTTTTTAACAAGAATTTTGAAAATGATTTTTGACTTTGAGATTTTTTGAGCACTTTGTTTTCTTGACTTTTTTTGTTATCTACGCTTGTTTTGTTTAGTTACTAACAGTTTTTATTATTAATAATGAACAATGACTAGTAAATAAATCTTGAATATTTTTTCTCCTTTTGAGCATACATATATAATATTAATTGTTTAATATGAATACAAAATATTAGAATAGTATAGTAGTCTATACTATTTTGGGGCCAGGTTCTCTGTGGCCATCCGGGATTTTGACTATTGTTGGAGATCCAACATCAACTAGAGATATGATTAACTTATAGTATATGATTGAAGTACAAACCCCACCTCATAAAACCAACTACTATGAAAAGGATAAGCCCAACATCCTTGTGTTGTAGTTTGTATGTAAAATGGGGATGTTAATAATCAAAACATCTTTTCATTTACTAGGTTATCAGGTTAAGGTTAATAAAGACGAATTGATAATACAATTATCTTCCATCCACATTTCCCCCAAATTCCAAAACCTTCTCTCAAATGACATTATCTTGGGCAGCTTTTATGCATTATGAGCATTATCAGTTTAAGGTTATTGGAGATACTACCTTGACTAGAGATATGGTTAAATTATAATATATAATTGAAGTCCAAATTTCTTCTGACAAGCCAATTTTATAAGGTTGAGATAGACACCTATCAATTTTTAATAAAAGTTAATAAAGACAAATTCATAAGGCAACTATCATCCATACACATTTCCCCAAAATTTCCAAAACTCTCTCAAATGACAAAATTATCTTGGGCAATTTTTGGGCATTGAGCAAATATGATCAACCTAAAAGGATGGAAGACATTAAAATTTAAGTGCCAGAATTCCACTAGAGTCATGATTGGCCACCGGTGTCCAATAGACTGGACAGTAGATTGTGTGACTGACTGGGGCTCAAAATGATATTAATGGGTACAGGGTACTCTATACCATCTTTCCTTGTCAACAGGAGAAGAACCTAAGTATGGCAGCATGTAGGAATTAATCATATTTCACCAAATGTAATAGTATAGTATAGTGTACTCAGTACAGTTCAGTCCTGCAGAAGAATGATGTTAAACTAAACAAGTTATAAAGCCAAGTTTAATGAAGGTTTCTAGAAAAGAAAGTAAAGTAAGATAATATAAAGGAAAATAAACAAAGTAAAGCAAGATTAGTGAAGGCTTAAAGAAAAGTAAGATAAGATAAAACAAAAACAGTGCAACATAGTGTGTGAGAATCCTATGTAGTGGGAAATTGGGAAGGTAGATTTATGCAGCAGCTTTACCTCTAGGAGTGAAGAGACTATTTCCACGATTTGAACCTGTGACCTCCGAGTCACAAGGCTGTAACCTTACTGTTGTGTCTAGGAAAATAAAATAAAATAGAATGCTAATTATTATATGGAGATGAGATATAATGTATATGGGCAGACTAGTTAAAGGACAATGACTGGAGTTTTTTTTTTTTTCTCCTTCTGTAAATGATAAAAAAGGTCAAGCCTAATAATGGAGAGAGTCAAGGGATTGAAAAATGGAATATTCTGTTTAAATGTCATGAATCTCCAATATCATCCTTACCTAAAAAGTTTTGATCACTGTGGAGGAGCTTGCTCTCTTGCATCTCCAAGACGACTCATTGATGGTTCTCCCCCTTTTGTTCTAGCTCTCCTCTAAAGGTTTTTATCTTTGATGGCCCCAAGTAATATATCCTACAAAGCAATGCCTTCTGTATTCCATTTGTCTTATCTTTACAACTAAGTTTCTTCATAGAGTTCTTTAGGCACTGGATCTTTAGTTTCTGTGCATACTCCGAGGCCAAATATATGTTTGATGGGTCTTTTTTTAGAATTGGGCCATCTTCTTTTAAGCATAGTTGGTCACTTAACTACTGATAGTGTGACACTGTCGTACTGTTTATGGTTGAGTGTATGGCCGGGCAACCCTAGTTACTGTAAAATAGAATGGCCTAGGTTACTTTTATGCTGATTTTCAACCTTGAAGTGATGGGATCATCTTTCAAGTTGAATATGAAAGTCATAGCATTTTCTTAGCTTTCTAACAGTTGTCTCAATCACCTTGTTCTCATTTGTAGTTCAAGTTCACTGCATTACGGGTAGGTCAGAAACAGTAAAGATTTATTCTAGGAAACTTTCTTCAAATCATCCATCGACTCTTCATTTAATTGAGCCAAATCTGCTATTAAAGATCTAAATAACAAAGGAAATAGTCAATTCATTATAAAAATGGATATTTTCTCAAAATATATATTAATAGAGATTATAATCTTAATTATACCAAATTATTTTGCAATCTATCAATATTGTATGGATTTGATGCATGCACACACACACACACACACACACACACACACACACACACACACATATATATATATATATATATATGTATGTACACCTTTTCTTTACTTCTGGTTGCTGTTATTGATGTACAAGATTCTTCTAGGCTGTAGATGATGAGAGATATATCTTCATGTCATCTATGCTGGGGTTGCTTGCCGAATATGGTATTTGGCCTCGTGTTATGAATGCCTCTTCAATATCGAGCTGTGTAAAGGTATGAAATATGTGGTCCTGTATATGATAGGTTAAAAAATGATAATGGATTGATCTTTGCCATGTCATGTCACTAGTTTCATGAATTGTTTAGTGACCTTTGAATGCCAATTTTTGTTTTAGTTGACAAAAAAATTCTAGGACATGGATTAAGAAGGTTGAATGATCCTGAGAGACTAAAGCATTGATCCATGGATTGGTCATATGTATTTGGTGCAGTGCAGAGCTGTTTGCTTCGGAATTTTATATGCTGGTGCAATATCTGATTTTATAATAGGTGGATTCCACTATTTATCTGATTTTATCTGCCTTGGTCTCCTCCATAATGTTTTGTGCCTCAACAACTTTATCTAAATCTTTGTTGTCAACACTTGGCTCCAATACAATCCCCTGATACCATCTTTGACAGTTTGACACACTAGGGTTCAAATCTCTCTTTGGCATAAACCTCAAGGGCCTTCTTTACATTGCCTCTGTCTAGCATTGACTCCATTATGTATGTTTGTTCTATTTTTCTGATTGAAGACTAACACCCTCTTTCTTTAACAACAGTTGTAGTATTTGTTTAATTTCTTTAATTCCCTTAACCTTTTTCTTGATATTGATTTCATATTTTCTTGAGAAAGAATTTCATTGATTGATTGGATATTACTGAAAGGTTTCGTACATAGAGTTGAGTACAAAGGTTAATGACAGTAACTAGCTACCTGAAAGTCTAACAACCTACAACTGTCAGATAGTGAGAGGTAATTGATTACAGTTACAACAGTAGCTAATATACTATACTTTAACATTTCCCCCGCAAACTGAGGGTGCTTAGGGACTGTTAAAAGATATGATTTGACATTGATAGGTGGCATTACAGTACATAGCAGAAAGCTGTACATACTATACAGCTGTTAACTTGGGACTAAACAACTATTATCATACTCTAACACATAATTATTTTATATTAAATCAATATGCTGATTTACAATGTTATACAAATTACTAACCAATAATGTTATTGTCGAGCTGTAAAACCATGGTTATTAAAATTTAATCGGGCTGGCCTATTCAACCGGCCATATTGTGAATCAATCTGTTGTTTCCTTAAAACCGGTGTGTGATTGAACTGGTAAAAAACCAGAAAAGTTGGAGCAAAACCTAAAAAATCGGCTGAGTTATGGGTTTGACCGGTTCAAACAATTATTCTCTTAAAGGACAACATTTTAGTTTTTTTTTTTTCAAGGATACTATTTTTAAAGTACATAAAATTTTTCAATTTTTTCTGCTTCCTTTGTCTCACGAGAGCCATGTCAGCCTTAGACAATTGTGTCACTGTGTTTCATCTCACTCTCACTACCTATAGTCTTTCGCCCTTCAATACATTTTGTGTTTGTGACCTTCAGTGTAAAATCTGGTGACAGCAATGATGACCCTCACTATGACTATAGTTGTGTTTTTTTTTTTTGTAAGAAAATTGTAGTTATTAATGAACTTATTTTGTTCTTAGTATATTGTTATGTAATTAAAAAAAATGTAAAAAATATATTTTATTAAACTGATAAAATCTTTAAACCTTAAATCTATGTTTTTACCATTTAGTAACTGGTTTGATTTTAATAACATTGGTAAAAACTGTAAATAGCGTGTCAATTGATTAGGGTTTTTTTTTTTCCAACTCATAATTATATTATGGTATTCATTTACGAAATTATTTCCATAATTAGTGATTTAGTTTCCTTATTTTCATTATGTCACATTATACACTGCTGTATATCACCAAATCAAATGAATGATGACAATTTATATCACATTGCATTTCTTCACACTTATTCATGCTTGTACTAGAGTTGAAATCTTAATTATGTTTAGCTCGTCTTTTTTTTTTGTTGTTGTTTCTCGTCCTTAGAATTAGCTGGTGAGGAAGATACTTATTTTATTTCTATATAGCTATTTTTAGTATTTAGAATTTCTCCATAATTGTGTTCAACCTAGCTTCTCCTTCAATGGAGAAGAAAAACACAAGTCAAATGCTACTTAATAACCCAAAATAAAGGAGTGGTTGTCTTGATAAATATTGGTCCTTGTTTAGAGAAACTTTAGATAAGCACTTGTTGGAGAAAAAAATAAGAAGCTAATATGCATTGCATAAGCTAAAATCAATCAAATGTTATAGAAGTTCTCTCCTTTAACTTCCCCAAAGTTTTAATTTGTCCACAACCAATTTTAACTTGTGGGAGAAGCTTAATTAACTTTTGCCCTTTTGTCCATAACATAAGCTTACCGACAAGAAGAATTCCTAAACATAAGAACAAAATGATACCTAGATAACAAATTACCCTAATATATTACACATCATTGTCTTCCTCTAATATTTTTTTAGATATTCTAAAATTTTTTTGTCCTTGTCCAGCATTTACATGATCAATTACAATGGAGGATTCGAAGTTCACATGTAAGTTTCTACATTTTGATGATTCACTTGTGCTTTTCAGCATTATAATTTTCATCACTTTCTTTGCTAAATCCTTCTGAAACAAGTGGTTGATCGATTATTTAAAAGATCTGTGGACACTTTCTTTGGACAGGATAGAATTGGAGAGTTAAGTTCTGTGCTAGAAAACCGTGCTGATAATGGTAATCATGTTGTTGAAAGTCCAGGTTCTGGAAATTTGACAAGTCACAATCATAATGATTTCATGGTACTATTGGCATGTAATCTTCTTTCATGCTTTGTCCTTGTATTTTTTGTGTTAATCATCATAGATTATCATTTGTCCTCATTAATTATAATTTGACTATAATTTCAGTTTCAGCATAACTTCCCTCAACAAAATCTTATCGGGAATGAACAAACTCATCAGTCAACAAGCAATATGGCAGGATATACGAACCCAGGTCTTAATGCTGATGTAAATTGGTCATTCAAAAATTTCAACTATCAACAGATTTCTAAGGTTGATAGGTTGGTATTGTTTACCCACATGTGTTTTTTACCAGTGAATAAACCTTATATTGTTGTTGATAATTCAGTTAATGTTGAATGTTAGGTAGTTGTTGGCTTGTAACTAACTGCTTGTCATAGTACTATTAATTGTAATGATATACTTTAATACAAGTATGTGAGATAAAATTTCAATATCCCTATCTCTTGTTCTGGTTACCTTTTCTTCTCTCTTTTTTGTGTTCTAATAAGTGGTATCTAGAGCGATTTTGATTGGGGACTTGTGTGATGTTCACTTGCTTATGCGACATTTTGTTGTGTAAGAAACCCTTTCTTGTGTAGGTTTTCTATCTGTTTCACGAATCTTTTTTGGTGTTGAATTTTGCAAAGTTCAGAGTATGAATCATAGTAAGTTTTAATGGGTTTTTTCCTGCCAACTTGCCAATTCTTGATGCAAAAACTTTGATCAATGGTGTATCAAGATGGGTGTAGTCTTTGGTTTCAAGAAATGTTGAAAATTGTGAAGAGTGACATTCAAGAGGTGAAGGAAGGTGCTTCAGAGATGTAGAGGACAATTCACAGGGAATCCAAGAATAAAGACTGCACATCTCTCTTCTTTATCCACCAATGTGTGGATTATGGCAATTTTGAGAAGATTTCTTTGACAAATTCACCCAAGGTTGCCCAAGATATCTAGAACAAGTCATATGGAGGTGCTGATCAAATCAAGAAAGTGATACTTCTATTTCTTCATAGACAATATGAGTTGTTGTCCAGCAAGAGGGGATTATTTCAATACAATTCAAGTGTTGGTCAACTCAATGAAAGCTTGTGGAGACAAGTTTTCAGATCAATAAATAATTGAAAAGCTTTTATTAACTTTAACTTCCCAATATGACCACATTGTGGTAGCAATTGTGGAATCAAAAGATATTGAAAATAATAAGGTTCAGGAGCTACAAAATTCTTTTGGAGCTCGTGAACAAAAGCTTCTTGAAAAAAGTGTTTGAATTTTGAAAATAATACGGTTGAGGAGCTGTAAAATTATCTTGAAGCTCTTGAACAAAAGCTTCTTGAGAGATTGTTGAGTGAGTTGTTGTTCAGGATTTGCAAGCACAAAGGGTGACAAAAACAAGGGAAAATGGCAGGACAAAGTAAAGATTCTGGTGTAGGTTCCAACTGGTTCTCAAATTAGAATATTAGTGGTGACAATCATAAGAATTGATGTCGTGGAAAATATGGTAAGAAGGGATCATAGAGGAAAATAGAAAAAGTTCATAAGAGAAATATATAGTGATATGCTTGGCAAAAATATTTAATGCTACAACAATAAAGGAAAGCAAGTGAAGGAAGATGAAGCTCAAATGGGATTGCTATCCTTGGGAATAGAATGTCTCTACTAGTGATGGAGTTTTCATGCATCAAAAGAGGCATGCAGTTGAAATACTGAAAATATTTCATATGTTGGATTGTAATTCTTCCCAAACACTAATTGATTGTGACATAAAGTTAGAGAAGGAAAGAAGTGTCAAGATAATCAATGCCACCTTGCATAATCAGATTCTTGGTTCGTTGAGATGTTTGTGCAACAGTAGACCTAACATAGCTTATGGAGTGAGACTGATTAGTAGATATATGGTTCATCCAAGGCTTTCTCATTTGCTTGTAGCTAGAGGGTATTGAGATATGTGAATGGAACTTTGGGATATGTATTGTTGTTTTCAAAACATGATAGAAATATTTTTGATGAAATATTTGGTTACTATGATTAAGATTGGTGTGGTGATAAAAGTGACTGGAAAAGTGCAGTAGGGTATGTGTTTATGTATTTCATGATGTTCTAAAGAGTCATTGGTGGCATTGTCTTTATGAAAGACCGAGTATATTGCAGCCTCAATGGGAGCTTGTCAAGCCTTGTGACTTGAGAACTTGATGAAAAGAATGAAGATTAGAAGGGAAGAGCCTATGAAGTTGGTGGTAGACAACACGTCATTTATAAGCTTGGCTAAACATCCCATTGCTCATGGAAGGTGCAATATTGAGACAAAATTTCACTTCTTAAGGGAACAAACTTATTATTCTCTTGGTGGGTCTTGGTTTGGTGCCCCCACTCTTGTATTTCCTTCTTTCTTAATTGTATTAGGAATGCTGCAAGTGATGTAATAGCAGTCTTTCATTTTGATTTAAGAAAAAAAAAGCCAGAAAAGGAAGTTGAAGTTAAAATACTGTAATAATGAACAAGCAAATGATATTTTAACAAAGCCTTTTAAGGCTAATAGATTCATGTTGACTAGAGATATGAAAGTAGTGCAATTTGTTGCTAATTTGAATTAAGGTAAGTATTGTAGAGAATTCAATTAGTGTTGTATGTTATTTAGGTAGTTAGTGAACTCTTAACTATCTGCTTATAATTGTACTATAAATAGTAATGATGTATTGTGATACAAATTTATGAGATAAAATTTCAGATTCGTTAACCATTTTTCTTGTTCTCTTTCCCTTTTCTTCTTTTTTTCTGTATGTGTGTGTTGTAACACCTTGACTGTCATTAGTTAGGAGCCATGTGTAGCATGACATCTTGAGCTATAGTTACTGGTCTGCAAATTCACATGGGCATCCCTTTTCTTCTTTTTTTCTGTATGTGTGTGTTGTAACACCTTGACTGTCATTAGTTAGGAGCCATGTGTAGCATGACATCTTGAGCTATAGTTACTGGTCTGCAAATTCACATGGGCATCTCATAGTCGATTAGTACCATTGGCAGTTTGCAAAGATAATTGAAAAAATGGTAAAAATATTTCCACGGGTGGTTTTTGACCTAATATGATTGGAAATATTTACTTCTATTTTACCATTTATCAATCTACATTCTAAACTTTGATAAACACATTCACACACGCAATAGAAAAGAGGAACCAACTTGACTATTTGATCTCACATGAACTTTCAAAATCGGAAGTTTTTCTGAAGGTGATAACTATTTAGAGAAGTCACGTGACTTTATGTTTTCATCTTGACCATACATGTATGCTCCTATGGTTGGATTTTTTCTTCTTACTCTCACAATTATCACTCCTCTCACTTGATATATATATAGCGCGAGAGAGAGATGTATGTATGTAATATTTACCACAAATGTAGATGTGCTGTAAGGTGACATATTTTGTTTGATATATCATCTACTTATTCGTTACACAATTTCTGCAGGGAGGTATCTTCTTTTCCGCATAGTTCAATTGATAAAATTGGAGTGCAGGACAAAAACATGGAAAGAAATTTTGTTAATGCCAACATGTACCAGCCTCAACCTGAGCAGGATGAGACTGCTTCATCTGTTTCTGAGGGTAATTGAATTTTTTTCATTGTAATAGATATAAATTGTAATAGATAGTATATCCTTTTATACTAAGGACTGATATTTCTAGATGGCCCTGGTATTGAGAATTTTCAAATTTCTGGTGATGCTATTCCGGGAGAAAAGCTTCTTGGATGTGGATATCCAGTTCGTGGAACTTCTCTTTGTATGTTTCAGGTGAATATTCTTTCCATTAATATTTAATTTAGCATATCTTCCATAATTTTCCCCGATATTATTTACTGATATTGCCATTATTCTTTGTATCACATCAGTGGGTTCGGCTTCTTGAGGATGGCACTAGGCACTACATTGAAGGTAGATTGGACAAATCTCTGGGCATTTTGTTTTTTGAAATTTTATGCCTGTTTGCTGGGTGGAGTGGTCTAATAGAAGTTAAGCTTAAACATGATATTTACTTTTTTTGTATGTTTTTCTTGAATCAGGAGCCACAAATCCTGAGTATGTAGTTACAGCTGATGATGTTGATAAATTGATAGCAGTTGAGTGTATTCCAATGGATGATAAAGGCCGTCAGGTTTGTGTATGTTATGTGATACAATTATTGCCATATCTATGGATGCTATAAATGCACCGAATTTTCTTATTTTAAATTAGGACATGCTATTTGTTAGATATGATTAGATATTAGTTGATATTGTTTGATATTGTTGAGATATTGTTAGATATTGTTAATCACAATATCAAATAATATCTTTTTATTTACTCTATTTGTATTTTGTTACTCTTTTGAGGAGTACCTTTCTTTATTATAAATACACGCCTATGTGTGGTAAATACACAAGGGAAATTAACCTATACGTTTTCCCTATATTCAACATGGTATCGAGCCAAAGCCTAACATCTTTCGGTTATTGTCATGGGCTAAAAGTTGCCTTTAGTTGGGTCAAAGTACCTTTGCCGTCGGCGCCGTTGGAGGGTGTGTTGAAAGTCCCATCGCCTACCTCATATCATTTGGTATGGTTTAAATACATGTTAGGCTACTCCACATATAGCCAATTGGTTTTATGTTGGAACCTTAACACTATTCATATAAGACTTTTCTATAAGGTTGAAAAGGCAAAATGTGTGAACTTCGAAGAAATTATTTTCTTCTGTGATAAAGTATTGTGATTCTTGGGACTGCTAGAAGAAAATAAAAACAAGTCAGGAAGAATATTCTTGTATGTATTATTTAGGAATGAAAGAGATACATATATAGGCAAGGCTACCCAATTACATAATAAATAAAAAAGGGAAAGTAAAAGGTGATCAGATCAAATAAGAGAAGATTTGATTCTGACCCTAAATAACAAAGAAATAAGATCAAATCAAAATAATCAGATCGTGATCCTAAATCACAATAATCTAATCTTTGTCCTAAATATTTGATCTTCTAGAAAATCAATCCCAAAAATAAACCAATAAATGTCAACACCCTCCTCAAGTTGTAGTGTAGATGTTCAACATACCTAACTTGCTTACAAGAAAGTCAGAGTTGGGCTTAAACAACCCTTTTGTAAGAATCTCGTCAACTTGTTGCAAAGTAGGAAGAGAAGGCATACAAGTTATGCTGAAGTCCACTCCTCTATAAAAATGTCTATCAGTTTCAACATGCTTGGTTCGATTATATTGAACAGTGTTATGAGAGATACTAATTGGTGCTTTGCTGTCACAATACCATTTCATTAGAAGAGGCATAGAAAGTTGCAATTATTTTAGGATCCTTTTGAGTCATAGAATCTCACAAATGCCTTGAGCCATTGTCCTATACTCAGCCTTCACATTGCTCCTTGCCAAAGCATTATGCTATTTGCTCATCCAAGTAACCAAGTTCCCCCATAATAATGTTCAGTAACTAGATGTTGATTTCTGATCAGTGATAGATCTGAGCATATATGAGTACATAAATAACTTGTCCAGTTTCTTTAAATAGAAAAATCCACACTGCATCTGGACGAATATGGGACAGTAAATTAACCTTCCTCTTACAGAGTGGGTTTTGCCTAATTCAACCCTACAAAATCAGCTTGTAAGGTGAGAACTGTCCCCAGTTATATACTTGTAAGGTTACTTTTGCCTTCACTCCTAAGTTTCTGGTTGGGGTCTAGAGGAGTATCAGCTGGCCTGCAACGTATCAACCTAGTTTCTTTGAGAAGGTCCATAATAACCTCCACAATACCCTTTTTTGGTTTCGCAAGCTCCATTCCCAAAAGAATACTTTAGAGATCCAAGGTCTTTAATCTCAAACTCAACTGCAAAGAATGCCTTCAAATTATTTATTTATTTATAAAGAATCATCCTCACTAAGTTCAATATCATTCACATAAACAATTAATAATGCAATCTTTCCTTCAGAAAAGTGTTGGACAACTATGGTGTGATCACATGGACACTGAGAATATTCGTGCTTCTTAATAAACTGGGCAAATCTCTCAAACCATTCTAGGTGACTGTTTCATGCCATAAAAAGACCTTTGAAGCTTCCAAACATTTTGATTGAACTGAGATTTCTAAACGAAGAGGTGTGTCCATGTATACTTTTACTGCTAAATGCCTATTTAAATGGGGATTCTTCATATCAGGTTGCAGTAATGGGAAATCTAGATTTACAGCTAATGGTTGGAGGATTCTAATGGTGTTCAATTTTGCAATAGGAGCAGAGATTCCTGTGTGATCAATACAGTAGGTCTTGGTGAAGCCTTTGGCAACTAGCCTAACTCTATAACTCTCATAAGACCCATCTGCCTTATATTTGATAGTAAACAACCCATTACACCCCACAATTGTCTTTTCTCTTGGCAGATCTACTTTCCAAGTCTGATTTTTTTCTTGAGCTCTCATCTTCATGACAGCTTCCTTCCACTTAGGAATGGAGCTTTTTGTATATCTATTGTTATTTCTGTTTTTGTTAGTTCACAAGTAAAAGCTCTAAAGTTAAGAAGCATAAGATATAAAATTAGAAATAGGACGTTTTGTTTAGGACCTTACACTGTTCCTGACAACAATAAGGTCAAATTTGTCAAAAACAAGTTCAACAAGGTTATAAGTAGGAAGAACAGGTTCAGATTCACCAGTATTTTGAATGGGTTGAACAAAATTAAGAGGATTCATACCTGATGGATCCTCGGATACCTGTCAGTTTTGAGGATCATTGGTTCTATTCTTTGATATCTTTTTTTCCTGATGTAAACATGGTCAAAAGGTTGGATACTTTTGTTATCAACTCTATTTGTCTCATTTTTAATTTTTCATTCTATCAAGACAGGTTCTGGAATATCACTTTCATAGTTGTCTTGACTTGATTGGCTTCACACACCCAATTCTTGTGCTCTGTCTTCTAAATTTTCTAGGAAATCTTAAGTTTGTGTTTGAAAATATTGAACTTCTTCCTCATGTTTCCTGCCATGAAGATGATCACTAAAAAGGGGAGTTTTTTTATTTTACGTTGTAACATCCTTGTCTCCTTGTTTTGACTGCCCACAGTGGAGACTTAAATTCGTAAATCTCATTAGAGTTCTCCAGGTCAAAGTTGCAATCACGGACATCCTCTAATGCATCTTTCACAGTTGGGAGGAGTAAGTATGGCTTCCCAATGGAATAGTCCTTCGGGTTGATTATTCATGGATAACGTGGTGGGTAATTTCCTCTAATCATAGAGCTTTTTATCCATGGTAGGCTACCACAGGTTTAGAGCTGAAGCTCTGATATCATGTGAACTGCTTGGAGAAATAACAATTTGTCAGGGAGAATTATTCTTGTATGAATCAAAGAGACATATAAATAGGCAGGACTGCCAAATTACACAATAAATTCTTAAAACGTAGGTTTATAACTAACTCAATACTACAAAACCAACTTGAAAGATAACAATTTTCCCCACTTATATATGTATGTTGACATTGTCTATAGTTAAATGAAAAAGGAAAAGTAAATAAAAGGTGATCAAATCAAATTGCAGAGACTTGAGTCTGACCCAAAATAATAACCAAATCAGAACAATATTCCTAAATCAGATAAAATCAGAATAACTGATCTTTATCCTAAATCAGATCAAATCTGATCTTGATCCTAATTATTCTTCTAGAAAAATTAATTCCAAAAATAATCATACAGCTGCCAACAGACATGCCATAAAATAAAATTGTAATGGTGTGAAGATAACTTCAATGTAATGAAGGGATGTAGATGAGTTGATAAATGGCCTAAATTGGCCTAGATAAAAGGAGTGCAATAAAATTCTTCTGCAATCTAAATAGTTTTTTACTGGTGTGCCTTTGACTTCTTCATCAAATATTCTTATCTCTGAAGTTAATTATTTGATATATTTGAAATTACTCTTTTTTACACAAATATATTATAGAAATGGCAGATATATCTCCTGTTCTGTAGAGTGTTATTTTTGACTTCTTTTTGTCAAATTTGTTCTTTGTTAGGGGGAACTGGTGAAGCTTTTTGCTAATGATCAGAACAAAATAACGTGTGGTAAGCTTTTTGCTATTGTACCATTCCTGTCAAACTACTATCCAACCATGACAGATATTTAGTCTCATGTTTGAAATGTTCAATTCTTGAGAGAAGGTGTGTTGCAGATCTTATATTGACTAGAGATATAACTAAATTATAATATATAAACATGTGCAAACCTTACCTTAGATTTTGTAAGTTTAAGTTAGGGTTAAACTCACGTTCTAATAGCCATCAATAAAGTTGCGTTATATTCATGCAAGTATGATTTAATATTTATGATATTATTATAGTTTTACTCCGTGAATGTTTTCTAATCGTAGTGTTCTGTTGGCTGACTTTGTAGACTCAGAAATGCAACATGACATTGACACAAATCTTTCTAAAGGAGAAGCAACATTCAGTGTTTTACTTTTGGTAGGTCTTGTTTGGTTTGGAACATCGTTTTATGCACGATATAGCTCATGAACCAGCTGAGCTTGTATCTGAGATAATGCAAAATATCAAAATTGAATAGGTAGAAGAATACTTAATTGTACACAACGAAAAGTTCCCTTCAAATAACCTGAAATTGTATCATTTGAATAGGTCTGACATTTCAGATGCTTATTAACTCGTTAAAACTTTTTAACATTAGTTTGCTAAAATTAAGTTATGAGAATCGTGACCGCGACTCACTTTTTATATTTTAATTCAGTTCAATATCATTTCTCTATTATATCAAAAATACCACGTTCTCCATGCATCATAATATGAATCCTTACATTTTTCCTAATTGTTTTGCAATAGATGGATTCTTCCGAGAATTGGGAACAAGCGACCCTGTTTTTGAGACGATCAGGATATCAAATTAGGATTAACGGTACTGAAGCTACGGTAGTTGCTGAGAAATTCTCAAAGGACCTATCGGTATGTTTTTTCAACTTCTAGTAGTACAAATAACTATCATGAATGCTATTAGTGAATCAATAACCAGTCATAAATGTATAAAACCGTTTATACCTGTTCCTAGGAACTTATTCAAATCATATAACAACTTATGCAAACAAATATGATTGGAATACCTAGAGTGGGAAATCAATCTGCCTAACTAAATAAATTTACTGCTCTTGCTCAATAAGTTAGAATGTAATTCTTAGAAAATGGGATGAAACTTAATTCAACTTTACAAAACCGGTTTATAAGTTGAGTTTTTAACCCATTTATATTCTATAATTTGATAATATTTCTAGAGATCTCAAACACAACCTCATTTCTAGGAAGGGACATCTCTGAGTGTGAAAATAAATATTTATTGGGTGGTCTGATAGTGGCCCAATAGGAGTGACATTATAGGCTCAATAAATTTCACTAAGATAGGTTCCGATACTATCTTGAACAACACAGGGAAACAAGAAAATAAATTTATTGATAACAATGACAATGATTACATTCTTAGCTCCTCTATTTGTAACAAGGAAACAAAATATGCTGAAATAAATAAGAAAATTCTAAAGATATTTTATTCTAAGCAAAGATATATATATCCTTAGTGGAAATTTTTGCTATCTAAAGACATTTTTCTTTGATGAAGTGTCTGTCAATTGCAATATGTTTGGTTGTCATGTATTCGATTATAGGCAATGCTCATGGCTAACTTCTTGTCACAATATAGCTACATAGGGATGTCTACCTAGATCTTAAGGTCATGAAGAATGATTTCCATATGGAGTCATTCACACATACTCTTAGCAAAAGTTTGAAATTTAGCTTCTGCACTAGAACAAGATACTCCATCCTGTTTTTTTTTTCTAAGTCACTAGACTTTCTCCATGTAACATACGCAAAGTAGAATTTTGTTATTGACAAAACCTGCATAATCAAAATTAGCATATATTTTTAGGGTCAATGTGTCTTCCTTTCTGAACAACAGCCCTTTCTTGGGATTGACTTCAAGTATGGGAAACTTTTGTCAACTACTTGCATGTGTCTTTCTCTTGTGTCATGCATAAATTGGCTCACCGCACGAATTGCATAAGCAATATCTAGTTTTGTGTAAGATAGATAAATCAGTTTCCTTACCAATCTTTGATATTTACTCTTTTCTAGAGGAGAACTTTCTTCACTTCCAATTCTATGATTTTGTTCAATAGGAACACTTGAGGTTCTGCATCTCAACTTTCTTGTTTTTTGAGATTTCAAGTACATCTTCTCTTTGGGATATGAAAATCCGTTTCTTGAAGGGGGTTGTTTAAGAAGGATGGAAAATTAATCATGGAGATGAATATTGATGCAAACTATACTGGGTCTGTTTGAGATATAGCGCAAAGGGTGTGTGAATTATTATTATTATTAACAATGAACAACACTTGCCACAGAAATGTCTAGATGGATAATAGTGCTTGTTGGAAAATGTCAGTAGTGAATAGTACCCACTAGAAAAACATCGACAGTGAACAATACCTTGCCTAAGAATTGTTGGCAATGAAAATATTGCACATCAAAAAGATGTTGCGACGAACAATACCTACTAGAAAAACATGGATGGTGAACGGTGATTTTCAAGAAAACATTGATGATGAATAGTAATCATCGAAAAACCTTCAATGTTGAATGGTGATTATAGGGTAAAACAACGGAAATTGAAAAATTTACATAGTTTCTAGAAAAATTTAAACATATAAGCAGTTATCCCCACAAGGAAAACACAAATTTGGTTTCCTTCTCATTAGGCTCTTAATATCATGTGAAAAGGATTAGTGACAAAGCAAGTTGTTGAAGATGGTACCACTCTGGTATCTTCTTGAGAAGAAATAATAAGAAACAAAATCAACATCTAATAATTTGAAATATTTGATGGGATATTTCTTTATCGAATAATATCATACCTTCCTATTTAGTGTAATCAAATTATATGTCTAACAATATCGATTAAAATCATAGTAAAATATGTTGACAGTTTTTCTAATACAAATTTTTAATTAATATAAAATAGTTTTTATAGCACAATATTTATTATGAATTATAATATTGTTCTATTATAACAAATTTTAACATGACTAATGCATCTCATGTTAAGTTATTTTTTAGTTGTTGATCATGAATATGTGCTTTATGTCTGTCTTAGTTAGTATATGCTATGTTTTATTATTGATAATCAATCTTAAAATTCCATTAACGATTTAGAAAATGGGCCTTCCAGTTCATGATTTAAGTCCCGATTCAATAACTCTCAGGGTTGTTCTGTGGTCAGAATATGATAGGATAAAAAATAATAAGATAAAAGCAAGATAAACATTTATCCTATCCAATGTTAGGTGTGTTTCATGATAAAGACAGAAAAATAGTAGACTATGGTGATGGCGGGTGCTGTTAATGACAATTGTGGCAACGATGACGATGGTGACAGTGCCAAAATGGTAATAATGAGATTGGGACAATGACTACACAAACAAGATGATGGTGACAAATAGTGAAAATGGTAGCAATAATAGTAAAAGTGATGATAGATGTTATTACAATCAAGTAAGTCAAAACCAAGACATAAAGATCCTACATAACACCCCATCCTAGTTACTACACAATAACTCCCTTCCTAATTACAAAACAATACGCCAGTAGCTCCATCTTAGTTGCGAAATAGGAGTTCTATCCCAGATACAAAATAAGTATCCATTTAAACAAATAATCTTGTAAGCTATACCACTCCTATTTATTGGAACATTCTTAGGAAGCAAAGATAAAATTGAGTTAAGAATTGGAGTTAAGGTGGTTCAAGACAACAAAGAGAAGGGAATAAAGATGTTTTGAAGTTGAAAAAGATGAGTGGGATCAAAGGAGTGTTGAAATAGAAAATAAAAGAGGGAGTGTTGAAAACATAAGTGGAGTGCTGAAATGAGAAAATAGAATAGGGATATTAAGGTTTGTTGTGGTTGCTCAAAGGTTACTCTTAGGAAGCAATTAAGGTAAATAAAAAGGTAGAAAAAGGGAAACTAAAAAGGAGCTATAACATACACAATTTGGGGTTCATTTTGGAGGTAAAAGGTTTGCTTTCTTTCTAGAGGTAGTTTATGTTTAGTTTGAGTGGTTAATGAGAAAAGGAGGGGTGGTAAATCTTTTGAAGGTAAAATTTGGGCAAGAAATGAAATAAAGGAGAAATAGAGTAAAATAGAATTTTGTTTTTAGGTAAGAGGGACATTGTAAATTTTTCTTTTAAAGCAAAAGGAATACCTCAAACTTTTTTTTTTAAAGTAAAAGCAGTGTAGGAAAAATTATTTATTTAGAATGGAAGAAAGGGCTATTAAGGATTTCTTTTGGTCCAAAATTTTGTGGGTTCTAATACCACAAACTTGACTCGATTGTTTAAGGATGCATTGATCAAGAGATGCACTGCAGAAGAGCAGAACAAGAAATGTAAAAGAACATTGTGTTGTTGTGAGTTCCAACTTCACCGTTGATCCTACACGATTAGGTGAAAATGTGATCTAGAGAAAATATGAACACGGAGAAGGTGAGAAAGATCGTAGATGCTTACGATCTTACGCTTGAATTTGTGATTTTGATTAGAATGGTAATGATGGTGACAATGACAATGATGACGACCAAAAATAGTAATATTAATGGAGGTGATGACGATGTAATGGTACTTGTTATAAAATGTTTGGGCTACAATAGTGCAAGTGATGGACTAACAGCGGTAGTTATAAAAAAAATTGAAATGAAAAATAAATATTTGTGAATAATGTGGATATCATTTGAAAATGGATAGTTAAGATAGAATCAATTTTTCGATTAATTCAGGGGCTTGAAATGTAGGTCAACTAAATGGTATTCCTATAGCAAGTATTATGGATTTTCAGGGGGTAGTATGCGATGTGTACTAGGTTAGAAAATCACCAATGCGATAGTGATTGCCACAACGAAGATGATGATGTTGGTGGAAGCAATATATATAGGGGTGATGGTGACAATAAGAGTGGTAGGGGTGGGATGGTGACAATACCACAACCATGGTGAGGTGAAGGCAATTGCAATGACAACAATGACATTGATGACAAAGATGGTGGTAGTAATTGTTAAAAAATCTTACATCGACTAGAGATATGATAACATTATAGCATACACTAGAGATATGATGTAAGTACAATCCTCACCTTGCTGAACCGGTTTTGTAGAGTTGAGTTAGGTATCTCATCTCATCATTTCAAGTTGGTATACGAGTGGTGACGATTTTTAGATCTTGAATTCTTTAAAACCTTCAAATGGAGGAAGGAAAATTTGATACATCTGGAATGAAATTAGTTCCTTTTGTTCAAACTCAAAAAGTTTTTAATACTCTTTCAAAAGTATGTTACGATGACAGAAATGAGAGACAAATGTCAGAGTTGAAAAAGGAAGTCTTCATTGTCGAACAAAATAGGTATTTGCACTACAAGCACTTTGTATAATCCTAGTGAGATTTTTAATACTTTTAATGACATGAATTATTGATACTGGAACTACAAATCATATGACATTTGATCCTAGTAAGGTTACCAAAATTAAATAATCTACACAAAGATATGTTTCTACTGCAAATGAAAATAAAGGCCAAATTATTGAGGAATGATCTTTAAATCTTACTAGTACTGCAAATGGAAATAAAACCCAAATTATTAAGGAAGGATCTTTAAATTTTACTAGTACTTTAAATCTTGATTCTGCCTTGATTGTTCCTTCTTTAAATTGTAATCTTTTATCTGTTTCTCAAATAACAACTTATTTATCTTATGTGATAGTTTTTTTATCGTGACTCTTGTATTCTTAAAGATATCAAAGCAAAACAATTAATGGATTATGGTATCAAAGTCAACTCTAGAGTTATTAGGATAACAACTGTTAATAGTGGTGAACTTAACCACTCGTTAATGGGACAATAACCATTAATTGTGGTGGACTTAACCACCTGTATCAGACTATAATATTGGATCATTCATCCTCGATGTGAGGGTGATATGAGGGGGTGTATTGAAAAATCTCACATCAAATAGAGATATGATAACATTATAGGTAAGGACAATCCTCACTTTACTAAACTGGTTTTATAGGATTGAGTTAAATATCTTCCAATTTTTAAAAGTAACAATAGTTGTAATCGAGGTGATGCGGTAAAAGAGCATTATAAGGGTATTGGATTGATAAAAGTTATTAGCTTGTCTGCAAAACGCTCGTGAAAATATTTGCATAAGTTGAGAAACTCATCTTTCTGATAATACTATTTTCCGGGTTTGAAAAATCCTCAACAAGATGTTATTTCCTCTTATACTCTGTTGGGTATTTCCTACTAACACTTACATCACACTTATTTTATGGATTTTCCTCAGATTAAGGTTCCATGTGGTCTCTCCGCGCAATTTGTGTTAACATGCTCAGATGGGTCTTCTCATCCTCTAAGCACATATAGTGTCAGGTAATAATAACATTGCTGCATTTCGCTTTCACATTAGAATTTTAGAATGATATTGGTAAAATATCATTGGTCACACTCCAAAAATGCCCTTCACGATGCCTGACTTAAATTTAGCATCCGGTGGATGCGTCATCAAGTAAACTGCTATTAGTAGCTGTTGTTGCTGTGATGTCATTGGAAATAATTATAATTATCATGCAATGTGACTATACTCATTCTCTTTCATCCGTCTGTCTCGTCTTGTAGCTGATGTTTTAAACTAGATACCAATTGTTACAAAGTTTATTTACTTTCATCCTTTGATATTTTTTCTGATCAGTGATTGACACATTGAATTTCTTCCTCATAATTTGATTTTAATTTGCAGCATGACAAATATAAATCTGAATGTTACTGTATTTTGCAAACCTGATTAACAGTGTTCATCACCTTTTTTTTTGTAGAATGAGAGACACACTTGTGTTAACTATGCGATTCTTCCAGAGTAAGGTATTCTATATATTGCTAGCAAGTGCTTGGGAATCAAGTAGCAACGACAAGTAATATTAATCCTAATATTGTCAATGGTAGTTGTAAAGATGTAAAGAAGTTGGTATCCGAATAGTTTAATCACATTTTTTATTCAATTGAAGAAACTAGTTATTTCATATCGAAGTATTCCACACAACCAAGCCTTATTACACAATTGGTCCCCAACTCTCAAGTATATATTAGCACTACAAATTTAGAGCCTTTTCTAATGGTTACTCCTAGTGCTTTCTTTTATCTTCATCAATTCTTGGTTGGGCAATGTAGTTAAATAACTTTAATAGCGCCACCATTAAGGCTATAAACATATGGTGTTTTTCGACCCCTCTTCCGTAGGTAATATGTGAAGGGAGGTCCGCAATGGCAGTACTTAGATTTATAATGTTTTTCTGATTATCTTTTTTTTTTTTTTACGTTTGTTTTAACATTCAAATAAATTCTGTAAAATTGTTTGTTACCAGTATTTCTGACAACAGTTTGGATCTTGTTTTGGGGGACACAGGCATTGGATGACAAAAGGAAAGGGAGAGCATGACCTCGGATTGCACTTTCGTATGGAAGAAAATAGAGCAGATGAACAAAACATTACAGTCTCTTTCAATTTTTTTAAATATTTGGTATCCCATGTGTAGTTTAGTGCTGTAAAAACATTAGTATAGAGTCCAACATTGTTTTAAGCGAAGTTACAATATAACATCGTATGCCTGAGAATGTGAGGGTTAGAGAGAGTTGCAACCGTTAAATGTGTGTTATATATTCATCTTAGCCTACCCCCTCACCTTTGTTCATGGTTTATCTGTAAGTACATAAATAAAGATTTGTACGTACAAATTTTCTTAAATTATTAAGTCGCATTTTGTTGTATGCACGTATGGCTCATCAGCAAATCGTTTTACATTGAGAATTGTTTTTCCTATTCTCGATGGTCCACAACAAGAAAAGGGTGAGAAATGTTTTGGAATATATAATTTAAAATAGACAAAATATGTTCCATGGTTCTGGATTTAGATTAGAGTCAAAAGCTATTTAATAACTCTTAATTATATAGTAAAAATAAATGCAAGCAATTGATGCCTCCTCTCATTATGGTGGAAAATATTATCTAAAATGTATAAAAAGAATGGATTACATATTCTCTACATATTCTTAAAAAAATATTTTAAAACATGTAATCGGATTTGATTTTTATGTAATGAGTATTTTTTTTTTACCAATGTTTTTAAAACTGTTTATTGAGTTTATTAGATATGATTAGATATTAGTTGATATTGTTTGATATTGTTGAGATATTGTTAGATATTGTTAATCACAATATCAAATAATATCTTTTTATTTACTCTATTTGTATTCTGTTACTCTTTTGAGGAGTACCTTTCTTTATTATAAATACACTCGCCCTATGTGTGGTAAATACATAAGGGAAATTAACCCTATACAGTTTTTCCCTATATTCAACATGGTATCAGAGTCAAAGTCTAACATCTTTCCGGTTATTGTCATGGGCCAAAAGTTGTCCTTTAGTTGGGTTAAAAGTATCCTTTGCCTGGTCCGGCAGGCTTCGTTGGAGGGGGTGTGTTGAAAGTCCCACATCGCCTACCTCATATCATTTGGTATGGTTTAAATACATGTTAGGCTACTCCACATATTGCCAATTGGTTTTATGTTGGAACCTTAACATGGTATCAAGAGCTTAAGGTCTCTTGGGATTTTTTTTCGGCTCTGCCACTGAACCTGCAGCTGTCGCCGCCTCCATCGCCGCCACCGTCGCCACCGCCGTCCACCGCCGCCGCCGTCATCAGAGTAGCAGTTCGGACCGCCGAGCACGGGGTTTTGCTCGCCTCCTTCGTGCGACCTCCACCGTGGAAGTTTCGCGGTCATCGGAGCAGCCACGCTCCCTCACGCGCCTCCCGAAGCCGCGCCACCTTCTCCCGTTCCGCCGCGCGTGGCGCGCGTCTCGCCGCCGTTCGGGCCGCCAATCTTTGCGCCGGCGTCGCCTCCTTCTCCTCTCTCTCGGATCTCGTCCTCGCTGCTCCAATCGGACCTCTTTGGTGTTTTAGGGTTTTTCTCTCTCTTCCTCCATGGCATCTTCGTCGCCACTTCCAGTCTCGAGTTACCTCCGTCGACTCCGGTGGGTCCGAGCAATCTGTTTTTACTAATTATGTCAATGTGAATTTACCCATTGATAAATTAGATGGTACGAATTATGCAACTTGGGCATCCGATATTAGACTTTGGCTTGAGAGTCGGGGTATGTTGATCATCTTACTACCAAGGTAGATGATGTTCCTTCCAATGATCGTGTCCAGTTGGAAGAAAGTTGATGCTCATATATGTATGGTTCTCAAGAATACCATCCAATCTTCTTTAAAACAAATTTTTCGATCGTATGGCACATGTTATGACGTTTGGGAACAAGCCAAATTATTATACACCAATGACACTCAACGTCTTTATGGTGTTTGTTACAATCTTCTTGATGTTATTGCTCCTCGAGATAAGGATCCTGTGGCGGATTATGTGGGTAAGATCCATGCTCTTCTCCATGAATTTAATGAGTTATTACCCCCGCCTCGACTCCTGCCCAAGAATTAGAGCAACGATCAAAGTTTTTCATGGTTTTGATGTTACACGGACTTGCCGATAAATATGCCCCTGTTCGTGACCGCATTTTGGGTTCCCCTGTTACACCCGGTTTTACCGCTACCGGTTCCTCCCTTTGCGGGTGTCATGTAAACCTCTCAATATTCTCCCTGTAGTTTCTAATGATTCATCTCGTCTTGGCCTCTCACCGTGATGATCGTAATCGCTCTCACAAGTCGGGCAAAGGCGTGTCAAGTGTGACCATTGTGGCAAACTAGGCCACAAAATTGACAAATGTTATGCTTTACATGGTTATCCTCGCCGATCTGCTGCAGTTGCTCGGGTCGATTCTTCCGCACAATCCTCATCTGTGGATCCTCCTTCGTCTGTACCTTCGAGACAAATCTGCTATCTTCAATGATTTTCTTCAATGGTATGAGGATCGAAAGCCCTCCAGGTTCCACTTACTTTGCCCACACAGTACATCTTTTCGTTGGTCCGACTCACTCTTCTTCTATTGACCCTTGGGTTCTTGACTCGAGCGCCACCGATCACATCACCGGTAACAAATCCTTATTTTCCTCTTTCACTTCTTCTCATAATTTACCCTCTGTTACAATGGCTAATGGGTCTACAACTTTAGCTCATGGTGTTGGAACAGTTACTCTTTTTCCCTCGTTGTCCATTGATAATGTTTTGTATGTACCGGGTCCCCCTTTAACTTATTATCCATTAGTCGTCTAACTCGATCTCTTGATTGTGTTATCTCTTTTACCAAAACTTCGTTTCCCTACGTAACCGGAGCTCGCAAAGAGTGATTGGCACCGGATGTGAGTCACATGGACTTTATTATCTTCAACCTTCTCCACATGTTAGCACGCTTATGGAGTCTCCTTCTCTCCTTCATGCTCGGCTTGGTCACCTCGGTCTACGCAAATTACGAGCAACTTGTTCCCAGCCTTATCCCAGCTTGTCCAATTTGGTGTGTGAGTCCTGTCGGTTAGGCAAACATAGTCGTACTTCCTTTTCTCGTAGTGTTTCCCAGACGTGCTTCATCCCCCTTTGCCTTAGTTCACTCGACATTTGGGGACCCAGTCGTGTTAAGTCTAATTTAGGTTTTCAATATTTTGTTACTTTTATTGATGATTTCTCTCGTTGTACTTGGTTATTTTTAATGAAAAATCGTTCGAGTTGTTTTCTATATTCCAAAACTTTTATCATGAAATTAAAAATCAATTTGGTGTCTCTATTCAAACTTTTCAAGTGATAATGGCCGTGAATATCTTTCAAACTCGTTTAAACAATTTATGGCTTCTCATGGCATTCTTCATCAAACTTCCCGTGCTTATACCCCTCAACAAAATGGGGTGGATGAGCGCAAGAATAGACACCTTATTGAAACAACCCGTACTCTTTTAATTCATGGTGAGGTTCCTCAACATTTTTGGGGTGATGTTGTTCTTCATCGCTCGTTATCTTATTAATCGTATGTCCTCTTCGGTTTTAGATAACAAAATTCCCCATTCTATTTTATTTCCTCATGACACTCTCCATCCTTTACCTCTGAAGGTTTTTGGGTCTACCTGTTTTGTCCACAATTTTGATCCTGGTCATGATAAGTTATCTCCTCGATCACACAAATGTGTTTTCTTAGGATTTACTCGATCCCAAAAAGGATACAAGTGTTTTTCTCCTTCTCTTAATCGCTATTTTGTGTCTGCTGATGTCACCTTCAATGAGTTTTCCTTTTACTTTAAGGACCCTTCCCTACCTGCTGAGTCTCCATCTCGCTGCAGTTCCCATTCCCGTTCTCATTGATCCTTATGTTGAGGACCATCCACCATTAGCCCCTCCTCCTCCACCACCCCTTCGAGTTTATAGTCGCGAGACCTCGCCCACAACCAGACGCCACATGACTCACTCCCGGTGCCAAATACTCGCCTCCTCCGGTTCCGTCCACGAGTCCGACCTTCCTATTGCCCTTCGTAAAGGTACGCGTTCTACTCGTAATCCTTCTCTACATTATACTCGCTTTAAGTTATCATCGAATTTCTTCACCATTTTATACCTGTCTCTCGTCTATTTCTTCTCGTGTCTATTCTTAAATCTGCTCTCGAAGCCTTAGCCCACCCCGGTTGGCGTCGGGCCATGCTAGATGAACTCGGTGCTCTTCGGACTAGTGGAACTCGGACGCTTGTCCCATTACCATCTCGGAAAATGCATTGTTGGTTGCGGTGGGTCTTCGCTATCAAGGTTGGTCCTGATGGTACTATTGATCGCCTCAAAGCTCGCCTTGTAGCCAAAGGCTATACCCAAATTTTTGGGTTGGATTATGGTGATACTTTCTCTCCGAGTGGCAAAGATGGCTTCGTTCATTTATTCATTGCCATGGTCGCTATTCAACAATGGTCTCTTTATCAACTGGATGTCAAAAATGCTTTCTTGAATGGCGATTTGCAAGAAGAGATTTATATGGAGCAACCTCCTGGATTTGTTGCTCGGGGGAGTCTTCTGGATTGGTATGTCGTCTTCGCAAATCTTTATATGGCCTAAAACAGCTCTCCTAGTGGTCTGGTTTGGAAAATTTAGCGACGTTGTTCAACAATTTGGCATGACTAGAAGTGAGGCGGACCACTCGGTCTTTTACCGTCACTCGAATCGTTGGATGTATCTATTTGATAGTGTATGTCGATGACATTGTTCTTACAGGTAGTGACCATCATGGCATCTCTCGGATGAAACAACACCTTTGCCACCATTTTCAAACCAAAGATCTTGGCAAACTCGGATATTTCTTGGGTATTGAGGTAGCACAATCTACCGATGGCATTGTTATATCTCAAAGAAAGTATGCATTGGATATTTTGGAGGAAACTGGGTTGATGAATTCAAAGCCTGTTGACACACCCATGGATCCTAATACCAAACTCTTGCCAAATCGGGGGAGCCAATGTC